TGATTTATAATCTACAGGTGTTTATCTTCAGGCTCTATTCTCCTAACATCTGATTTATAATCTACAGGTGTTTATCTTTAGGCTCTATTCTCCTAACATCTGATTTATAATCTACAGGTGTTTATCTTTAGGCTCTATTCTCCTAACATCTGATTTATAATCTACAGGTGTTTATCTTTAGGCTCTATTCTCCTAACATCTGATTTATAATCTACAGGTGTTTATCTTCAGGCTCTATTCTCCTAACATCTGATTTATAATCTACAGGTGTTTTATCGTTTAGGCTCTATTCTCCTAACATCTGATTTATAATCTACAGGTGTTTATCTTTAGGCTCTATTCTCCTAACGTCTGATTTATAATCTACAGGTGTTTATTTTAGGCTCTATTCTCCTAACGTTCTGATTTATATCTACAGGTGTTTATCTTTAGGCTCTATTCTCCTAAACGTCTGATTTATAATCTACAAGGTGGTTTATCTTTAGCTTCTATTCTCCTAACATCTGATTTATAATCTACAGGTGGGTTTATCGTTTAGGCTCTATTCTCCTAACATCTGATTTATAATCTACGGTGTTTATCTTTAGGCTCTATTCTCCTACATCTGATTTATAATCTCAGGTGTTTTATCTTCAGGCTCTATTCTCCTAACATCTGATTTATAATCTAACAGGTGTTTCTCTTCAGGCTCTATTTCGAACACTGATTTAGAATCTACAGGGTGTTGTATCTTTAGGCTGTAGTCTCCTAACATCGATTTATAATCTACAAGTGTTTACTTTAGGCTCTATTCTCCCCAACGTCTGATTTATATCTACAGGTGGTATTATCTTAGGCTCTATTCTCCTACTCTGATTTATCATCACAGGTGTTTCTTTAGGCTCATAGTCTCCTAAGTCTTTTTATAATCTACAGGTGTTTATCTTTAAGGCTCTATTCTCCTAACATCTGATTTATAACTACATGTGTTTTATTCTTTTAGGCTCTATCTCCTAACATCTTGATTATAATCTACAGTGTTTATCTTTAGGCTCTATTCTCCTAACACTGCTTATAATCTACAGGTGTTTATCTTCTCAGGTCTATTCTCCTAACATCTCATCTGATTTATAATCTACAGGTGTTTATCTTTAGGGCTCATTCTCCCTAACATCTGATTCAATAATCTACAGGTTTTACTTCAGCTCTAGTCTCCTACATCTGATTTATATCTACAGGTGTTTTGATCTTTAGGCTCTATTCTTCTCACATCTGATTTCTAAATCTACCGGTGTTTTTATCCGTTAGGCCTCTATTCTCCTAACATCTTGATTCATAATCTACAGGTGTTATCTTTAGGCTCTATTCTCCTAACAATTCTGATTTTATCTACAGGTGTTTATCTTCAGGCTCTATTCTCTCCTAACATCTGATTTATTATACTATTACAGGTTTTTATCTTCAGGCTCCTTCTCTTCGTCAGTCTGGTGTCCCTTTGGGGGGGGGGGGGTGGGGGTTTGAGGTCTTCCTGGGGTTGTGTGTGTTGTCAGGGTTACTGGTCGATTCCTCTGAACAGACACATTGCGAACACCATGGCAAACAGCTGAGAGAACAAGGGAGACAGTTCAGGAAGGGTTAGGGGGTCACTTCAATATATTGTCACTATTGGCAAACATTGTAGCTAGATTATTTACTACATAACTCAAACAAAAAACTTGCAGGGATTGAATCCACAGTATAGCGAGGGAAGTAGGCCAATACTGTCTGGATCTTCTATAGTAACATTGACTGTTAGGTCATTCCAGTTCTGCCCACTAGATGGCCTCATTTCACACTTCTTGCAGTAAATGTACAGCACATTGTGGACACTACTACATTTACATTTAAGTCATTTAGCAGACGCTCTTATCCAGAGCGACTTACAAATTGGTACTAGTGGGTCTTATTATTAGGAAATGCCTGGCAATCTGACAACAATAATCCTGGAACAAAAACTAAACAACTAATAATGGAACTGCTCTACTAGACCAGGAGAAACCCTTGAGAACGTACTTCAATCGTCAGGACAACAATAGCCAGAGCTCCTGCCATGTAGATATAGGTCTCAAAATAGTCCACCACCGCTGAATAACAACCCTGGAGAGAGACAGAGACAGAGACAGAGAGAGAGAGAGAGAGAGACAGAGAGAGACAGAGAGAAGAGAGAGGCAGAGAGAGAGACAGAGACAGAGACAAGAGAGATACATATTAGAGAGCTAGAGATACATATAGAGAGCGAGATAGACGAGAGATATACATCAGAGAGGAGACAGAGATGAGATATCTAGAGAGCGAGCCATATATAAGATACAGATAGATAGATACAATATACAGATACATAGACAAGACGATATTCTACTATATATAGAGCTTATTATAGCTCGATCTTATCTACATCATAATATATCTATATACTATATATATATCTATATCCCGATATAGCATAACATATATCTCTACATATAGATACTATATGATAGATATTATATAATATCTATATATTAGATATATCTTCTCGTCTAGAATAACACAGGAGTAAGACGGGAAATGCACTAGATAGTAGGTTGAGCGGGGCGTTAGGCTATCTAGATGGGTGGGAATAAGGAATACGTAATATAGTTATATACCCGCTGCTCTCTCTTCTCTCTCGCTCGCTCACGCTCTCCTCTCCCCCTCCTCTCTCTAGCTCCTCTCTTTCTCATCTCTCTCTCTCTCTCTCCCTCTCTTCCCTCTCATCCCCCCTCTCTCTATCCCACCACCTCTCTCTACCCTCTCTCCTACCGATACAATAGCGATAGAGAGAGATATATATATATATAGCGACTCGCATCGCTTATCTATACGCTCCTGCGCAGCTACCTTCTCTTCTCCACTAATATACTCGCCGCGTCATCTCTCTACTCCTCTCTCTCTTATATATCTCCATATGCTTAACAATCTATATAGACCGTATAGACTACATCTAGTATATGACCATATACATCTAGATATAGAGCCATATCTATGCCAATATGATATGATAGTAGATATATGACAAGAATACTATATACAACTCATAACATATATATATATATATATTATATACAATACATATAACATATATATATATATATATATATATATATATATACAATACATATACATATACCTATATATCCAGTATATATATAATATACAATAATATATATACAATATATATATACAATATAATAATATACTATATATACATATACTCATATATTTATATACTCTCATAGAATCTATATATACATATTATCTCTACCAATATATATCTATTCCCTACTCTCACTTAATCTCGGCGGTTGTCGGTCTCTCTCATCTCTCTCATCTCTCCCTATACCAGCTCTCTCCCCCTCTCGTCTCTATAGATACATGATATTATATGATATACAGATCCATAATATATATATATATACATATACCTCAGTATATTATTATATATACAATATATAGATAATATATATATTATACCGTGATATATATATATTATATATATATACATATAAAAAACATATAATATATGGGAACATATGAACATATAACATAATATACATTATCAAAGTATACAGATTATATATATCATATATATATCCCATATATATATATATCTATTATCTATAGAGAATATATATATAAATATATATATCTACTATATCATCTATATATAAATCATATCTATATATCAAATCATATATATCTCTACTCATCTGTCTCGCTCTCCGCTCTCGCTCGCACCGCGATCGCGCCCCACACCCTAGCTCCAGTCTCTAACTCTCATAGACTACCTTCTCCTGCACTCTCTCTTATCTCTCTCTCTCTCTCTCTCTCCTCTCCCCCTTCTCCCCCCTCTTCCTCTATCCCTCTTACCTATATCTCTCTCTATCTCACCATATATCTATCTATCTATCATATACACTACTCTTATCTCTCCTAGCATATATATATATACAATATATGATATATACGATAATACTCTATCTAGATATATAACATATAATCTATATATATATATATATATATATAATATATCATATCTATAACTTATAGATAGAAATACAATGCAATATACACTATATATATATTAGACATCATAACATATATATATATATATATACATATATATATATATATATATATAATAGATTATATACAATATTATCGATATTCATATATTATCTAAGTACCGGAACGAGTGCAGTTTACAGAGCCAAATATAATGGAGTAGTACAATATTCCATCTTAGGACGAATTATGCAGGGGTTAGATATGGATATGGTTCTGTATAATAGAAGTATAACAACAATGGCTTCTCATATAAGGGTGATCAATATACTATCCGGGGACTGGGATTTATAGAAGTATCGGGGAAGAGCCGGTATATGAACTATAAGTAGTGAGTCATTCTTGGCGGATTATAGGTCGGGTATACACAGTTGGAATATAAAGCCTGAATATCGCGCTCCGATAGAACTATGATCTTGACCACCCCAAGGACGAGGAGTGATAAACTAAATAAGTATACATAATATAGGTATACATTTATACAGTGTTGAAACGAGAGGTAAAATGTATATGTATTCTGTTATCCGTTCTCTCTCCTCTCCTTCTCCTCATCTCTCTCCCACTCTCTCCTCCATTCTCTCTCTCCTCTCTCTCTCTCTGCTCTCTCCTCCCTACGTTCCCCTGCTCTTCTCTCTCCCCGCTCTCTCCTCTCTCTACCTACCGTCTATATCTCGTCTTCTCTTCATCCTCAAATCATTCCCCCTCTAACTCCCTATATAGCACCCGCCTCTCTCGTTAGATCTCTCCTCCGCTATATACTCTCTATACCCTATAACCTCTCGTCCTATCTATCCATCTCAATCACCTCTCTCTCTCTATATCCCCTCTATCTCTCTCTCTCTCTCTTCTTACTCTCTCTCTCTCCTCTTCTCTCTCTCTCTCTCCTCTCCCTAGCCCCCCTACCTTCTCTCTCCCCCCTAGACAGAGATACGATAGAGACGAGAGAGATCTAGTATATACGCTCACTAATATCATTATTCCTCTTAATGTCACCCTCCCTATTCTCACCTATAGTCTACATATTCTATTCATCCATATATCTCGATAAACCCTACCTTTCACTCTCAGTATATATCCGGCGTGATACCTGTCTATCTATACAAATTGAAGAGGGGAATGAATATTGGAAGTCTATGGGTTTCTACTACATTGATCCAATATGCGTTGGTGTGGTGGGTGGGGGGGGGGGTTGTGTCGCTGGGGTGGGTGTGTGATGTTGGGGTATTTGTGGATTGTTGTTTGAGTGGTGGTTGTTGGAGTTGGGTGGTGGTGGGTGGTGGGGTTGTTGTGGGGTTAGGTGGTGGGGTTTGGGTGTGTACAGGGGGTGGGGTGGTTGGTGTGGGGGTGTTGGGGTTGTTGTGGGCGGTGTTGGGGGGGGGGGGTGGGGGGATGGGAATATAATACACTATATACCTTAGTATATATATAGGAATATATACAATATACGACAGTAATATATATAACATATATCATATACATATATATATAATCTATATATATATATATACCAATAGTACAGCACACTCTCTCTTCTCTATCTCTATCTCCCCTCTCCCTCTCTCCTTCTATCTCTCTCTCTCCCCGCTGCTCTCCTCTCCTCTCTCTCTCTTCTCCTCTCTCCCCAGATAGCTCTAATCTCCCTCTCACTCTCTCTCCATCTCCACTCCATCCACCCCTAATTTACTATCTCTACATAGTACATATATAATATATATATATAACAATAGCATATAATATACAGATAGATATATATATATATATTACATATATATATAATTATATATAGATATATATACATATAGTAATATATTATTATAATAATATATATATATACTATAACATATACATATACATATAATCCATATATATATATACCATATATTATAATATATATCTATATATATAGATATATATATATATATATATATTATATATATATATATATACATATATTATACATATATATACATATATATATAACGATACTAACATATAGTATATCATATATCTATATTCTATATATATATATATAAATATATATATATATATATATATATAGATTATATTATATTATATATATACATATACATATATATATATATACATATACATAACTATACATATACTATATATCTATATATATCTATATATTATGATATAATATATATATATTACTATATATATATATATATATATATACATATATATATACCATATATATATATATATATATATATACTAATATAACAGTATATATGATACATATAGATAATACTAGATATACATATACATATAATATATATATATAATATCTATGATATATCTAGATATATTTAGTATGAGATATATAGCTAGATATCTACTATCCAATATATATATATATATATATACACATATATATAACCATATATCTATATATATGATATACATATATATATATATATGCTATACACATAATAATATATAATATATATATATATATAGATAATGATATATATATATATATTAACCTTATCATTATATTAAACATTAAACATAATTCTATACATGAAAGACTACAGTAATATTGAGGTGCTGGCCAACGAACTGTAATATAGTGAATAGCAGGTCCTGTTGGCATCACATTTCATGTTAACCACATTGGAAAACAAACACTTCTGAGGCATTGTAAACATAACAAACAGAAATCCCAGAAATCCCATTTGTAAACCCCCCAAAAAAGTGTGAACCCAGGAGGGATTTTGACATGCAAGCACACATGAATGCGCACACACACACACACACACACACACACATACACACACACACACACACACACATACACACACACACACACACACACACACACACACACACACACCACAGGTTTCTTGTAACCTTGTTATAGCGGAGCACCATGCTTCCCCTCAGACACTCGTCTCTGCTGAGGTCGTCCACGGCATCTCCAGGGTGACTGTTGCCCTGGCAACACGCCTCAGGAACAATCTTGTCTGGGCTGAGGAGCCTGAACAGGCTCTCCTCAAAGTCATCCGGGCTGTTCACCCCACAGCAGTCAAACTATACAGACAGAGAGACATGGTAGATTAGTACTGTATAGTGATGTACCTGCACTATACTCTATCTAAAGATTCTCAACAAACAAACTATAGAATTGATAACAGCCAATGACATGAGGTCGATGATAACAATGGACAAGCGCGGACTGTCACGTCTCTGGCGCTGTGCACCCCTGAACGGAGTCTTACGGTGGTCATGATGGCGTTCCAGGTGGACGGTGAAGACATCAGTGTTGTTGTGTCCATGGTAGCGACTCTTCAGCTCCCTGGTAAAGTTCTCTCTGGTGAGCTGCACAATAAAGAAGGTTTTTTTCAGGATTCTACCAAATAAGTTCAGATGTCCTTTTAAAACCATGGCAACCTCTAAATCGTCTGATGCCTTTGGGGCCCCAGTCTCATTTTTTGAATCAACCCCATTACTGTAACAATGCCATGGTACCTTTCCCCCCCTGTTGTAGATGATTCCCTGTAAGCACTTTCAGTAAAGATCCTCCATGGCAGGTTTGTTTGACAACCCCCATTACGGCCATCCCTCATGGTCCTATCTGGGATTGATGCCTGATAGCGTAGGTGCACCCTGTCCTAATATGGGCGTAACGTCCTAATAATGTTACCTGATCCCAATCAGAGAGAGAGAGAAACAGAGAAACACTCACATGCTCCCGGAATATGAAGGCCAGGACGGCTGCTGCTAACTCTGCCAGGAAGATGACCAGGATGAGCATGAAGAACTGAGGAAGGGAGGGAGAGAGAGAGAGAGACGATCACAACACTGACTCCATCCACTAGTTTAGATTTAAAATGGATGCTAACATATGAAAGCTCATGAATAACACTCAATATAAGTCCAAAGGCCTCTTCTGTTTCAGTGACCAATAATTAACGCAACATATAATTTACTCCACTAGATGGCACTATTCCTTATATTGTTGTAAGACCTGAATATCCTAGCGTTTTCCAGCACCGTGCTCCAAGTTACCAGCTGAGCCCAACTAGGCAAACATAATGATTAGTGTGGACGGGATGATGATACAGAAGGGAAATAGCTGTCGCCTGATTGATTTTCACACAGCTTATCAGTGATGCCCAATTACCAGCACTGCTTGGTGAAATTGTACGCGCTGACAAGCCAAGAGGACTATCCAAACGTGGAGTAGTTGACTTACAAAGAGCAGATGGCTCCGCAGCAACCCTGGAACGTTTATAAACACGCTTAAAGCCGATTACAACACTATTATAACACTCTTTAAAAACTTACAAAGAGTAGCAGACACTTGTTCTCCCGGATGGCTCCGCAGCAGCCCAGGAATCCCAGGAGGAAGAGCATTGCCCCCATGGCCAGGAGGATGTAGACCCCAGTGAAGAGCAGAGGGTTGGCTGCTACCATCTCCCTGAAGCCTGTAGGGTCCAGCAGCACCCACACACCCACACCAAGCAGGAAGGAGCCTCCTAACTGGACCACACACACACACACACAGAGAGGGAGCCAATCAGAATAGGAGAGGCACACAGGCAGCCAATCAGAACAGAGTGCAGCCAGGAAGTAGGAAGTACAGTAGGAAGTAGACGCCTGATTCAACCGGGAGAGGCTATACGGACATGCCTGGTGCCCAAATTGATGACGCTTGTCACGCAGCGAGTCGAGTGGAGAAAAGCTGATTTGGTTCAGTCAGTTCAGTTCAGTCTGTCATCCTGATGAGTTCTTCCCAGCTAGCTAGTTTATGCTTGTGGCTAGAAACTTCAGCGATCATTTGAAAATTGTCTGCCGAAGTTGGGACTTGGGATTGTTCAGAATCATTCTGTTTTTAACGGAGTAATGGTTCGTAAAAAAGAAAAGAAAAAATGAAACATTAGACATTAATACCATAGTTGTACATTTTTGGTGAAAATCACTAGAATAAATGTGCTTTAGCTGTCACCCTGTGGCGACATGATGCTGTGGGGACATGATGCTGTGGCGACATGATGCTGTGGCGACATGATGCTGTGGGGACATGATGCTGTGGCGACATGATGCTGTGGGGACATGATGCTGTGGGGACATGATGCTGTGGGGACATGATGCTGTGGGGACATGATGCTGTGGGGACATGATGCTGTGGCGACATGATGCTGTGGCGACATGATGCTGTGGCGACATGATGCTGTGGCGTCATGATGCTGTGGCGACATGATGCTGTGGCGACATGATGCTGTGGCGACATGATGCTGTGGCGACATGATGCCAATTGCACGCTCCCTCAAAACTTTGTTGTGTGGCAAAACTGCACATTTTAGAGTGGCCTTTTATTACTGTGTAATGATCATGCTGTTTAATCAGCTTCTTGATATGCCACACCTGTCAGGTGGATGGATTATCTTGGCAAAGGAGAAATGCTCACTAACAGGGATGTAAACAAATTTGTGCATAACATTGGAGAGAAATAAGCTTTTTGTGCGTATGGAACATTTCTGGGATTTTTTTATTTCAGCTGATGAAACATGGGACCAACACTTTACATGTTGCGTTTATATTTTTGTAGCATCCGACAGCAGAACATCAGACAGCAGAACATCAGACAGCAGAACATCATAACATCAAACAGAAGAACATCAGACAGCAGAACATCAGACAGCAGAACATCAGACAGCAGAACATCAGACAGCAGAACATCAGACAACAGAACATCAGACAGCAGAACATCAGACAGCAGAACATCATAACATCAAACAGAAGAACATCAGACAGCAGAATGTCAGACAGCATAAAATCAGACAGCGGAACATCAAACAACAGAACATCAGACAGCAGAACATCAGACAGCAGAACATCAGAACAGCAGACAGCAGAACATCATAACATCAAACAGAAGAATGTCAGACAGCAGAACATCAAACAGAAGAACATCAGACAGCAGAACGTCAGACAGCAGAACATCAGATAGTAGAACATCAGAACATCAGACAGCAGAACATCAGACAGCAGAACATCAGACAGCAGAACATCAGACAGCAGAACATCAGAACATCAGACAGCAGAACATTAGCCAGCAGAACATCAGACAGCAGAACATCAGAACATTAGCCAGCAGAACATCAGAACATCAGAACAGCTAGCAGAACATTAGACAGTGGAAGTGTAAAGCAAGCAGCATATACTCACGAAAATGAGGAAGTTGAAGATGAACATGAGGTACTTGATGCAGCTGAGACAGTCCCCCTCCATGTCTGTGCCCCGCGCTGAAGCCTCCCCGGACCCCTGCAGACACACACACACAGGCCTGTTCATTACTGAAAAGTATAGAGCACTGTACAACACAAAAAAACTAAGGTTATGCCATAGCGTGACTCCTGTCCTGCACAGGATGGTTGAGCTGCAGTTCAGCTACGGTTTTGGGCTCTAGAGAAGTTAAATCATCCTCTTTGAGACTGAGGTGAGAAGAGCCGTCCTCTCCTCTCCTCTCTTCCACAAAACGGAGATACAGGATAGACATGAGAGAGTAAAAGCTAAGGGCAGAGAGATGTCAGTCCCCCAAAGATAGTGGGAACATGTCACTGCCAGGCTGTCCCTGTGTGACTCTGTGTCATGTGGGGACGTGTGGGAGGATGTGTTACATTTCATGCAGCCGGCCATCAGAATCAGCGCTGCTAGTGTGAAGAGGACCAACAGTCTTTTCCAGCTATGATGGTGTTTACCAGGACTCTGCCACCTGCCACAGCTGACTCACTTCACATACTGCAGTAACCAAGCAGTGATACTGTTCAGACAACACAAACCAGCCTGTCTGTTCTTTAGTTGAGTCAACTGGCTGGTCTGGGGGGGAAAGCCTGCAAACAGCATACACAACAAGTGGGTCTCCGGGACCAGGTTTGAAGAACACATTTCTCTCAATCTAAAACATTCACCAGCAACTATTGATATGAGGTTTTATGTGGTAACCTCGTCACTTAGATAGGCAGAGTGGTGTCTGTCTGACCTCATCACTTAGATAGGCAGTGTGGTGTCTGTCTGACCTCATCACTTAGATAGGCAGTGTGGTGTCTGTCTGACCTCATCACTTAGATAGGCAGTGTGGTGTCTGTCTGACCTCATCACTTAGATAGGTAGTGTGGTGTCTGTCTGACCACCTCATCACTTAGATAGGTAGTGTGGTGTCTGTCTGACCTCATCACTTAGATAGGCAGTGTGGTGTCTGTCTGACCTCATCACTTAGATAGGCAGTGTGGTGTCTGTCTGACCTCATCACGTAGATAGGCAATGTGGTGTCTGTCTGACCTCATCACTTAGATAGGCAGTGTGGTGTCTGTCTGACCTCATCACTTAGATAGGCAGTGTGGTGTCTGTCTGACCACCTCATCACTTAGATAGGTAGTGTGGTGTCTGTCTGACCTCATCACTTAGATAGGTAGTGTGGTGTCTGTCTGACCTCATCACTTAGATAGGCAGTGTGGTGTCTGCCTGACCTCTCCATACACCACAGACACAGCTGACCTCCCTGTTAGCACCTACAGTAAATGAAACCCGATTCTCCCTGGGTACATCCCAAAGGGAAGCCTTTTCCCTATATAGTGCGCTATGAGCCCTATGGGCACTACATAGGGAATAGGGTGCACTACATAGGGAATAGGGTGCACTACATAGGGAATAGGGTACACTACATAGGGAATAGGGTGCACTACATAGGGAATAGGGTGCACTACATAGGGAATAGGGTGCACTACATAGGGAATAGGGTGCACTACATAGGGAATAGGGTACACTACATAGGGAATAGGGTGCACTACATAGGGAATAGGGTGCACTACATAGGGAATAGGATACACTACATAGGGAATAGGGTGCACTTTGTAGGGAATAGGGTACACTACATAGGGAATAGGGTGCACTACATAGAGAATAGGGTGCACTACATAGGGAATAGGGTGCACTACATAGGGAATAGGGTGCACTACATAGGGAATAGGGTACACTACATAGGGAATAGGGTGCACTACATAGGGAATAGGGTGCACTACATAGGGAATAGGATACACTACATAGGGAATAGGGTGCACTTTGTAGGGAATAGGGTACACTACATAGGGAATAGGGTGCACTACATAGGGAATAGGGTGCACTACATAGGGAATAGGGTGCACTACATAGGGAATAGGGTACACTACATAGGGAATAGGGTGCACTTTATAGGGAATAGGGTACACTACATAGGGAATAGGGTGCACTACATAGGGAATAGGGTACACTACATAGGGAATAGGGTACACTACATAGGGAATAGGGTACACTACATAGGGAATAGGGTACACTACTTGGGAATAGGGTACACTACATAGGGAATAGGGTGCACTACACAGGGAATAGGGTACACTACATAGGGAATAGGGTACACTACATAGGGAATAGGGTGCACTACATAGGGAAAGGGTGCACTGCATAGGGAATAGGGTGCACTACATAGGGAATAGGATACACTACATAGGAAATAGGGTACACTACATAGGGAATAGGGTGCACTACATAGGGAATAGGGTGCACTACATAGGGAAAGGGTGCACTACATAGGGAATAGGGTGCACTACATAGGGAATAGGGTGCACTACATAGGAAATAGGGTGCACTACATAGGGAATAGGGTGCACTACATAGGGAATATGGTGCACTACATAGGGAATAGGGTACACTACATAGGGAATAGGGTGCACTACATAGGGAATAGGGTACACTACATAGGGAATAGGGTGCACTACATAGGGAATAGGGTGCACTACATAGGGAATAGGGTGCTATTTGGGACACACACCCTATTGTTAGTCCCTCAGTGGGCACTCAGCTGTGTAAATGTGTATTTAATGCCCATTAGAACACTATCTGTCCTGTGTTGCTGGTCTTAGTCTAATTAACTAAATGGTGTGTGTGTGTGTGTGTGTGTGTGTGGTGTGTGTGTGAGTGAGTGTGTATGTGGTGGGGCCCCCTTCTGCTGTAGTTCAATGCAGCCTCTATGACTGACCGGGCCGGGGCAGTGTAGAGTAGAGCACTCTGGGTAATTGATGTCCTTTAAAGGGGATTTTGGGTAATGAAGTGAAGCCTTTTCATAAGTGTATGGGGAATTTGGGTTTATAGACACACACACACACAGAGAGAGAGAGAACCACACACACATAAACACACAGAGAAACACATGCATATGCATACGCATACGCATACGCATACACACACACACACACACACACACACGAACACACACTGCACAGAACTCCAGTGTCCCACTCTGCAGATGTGGCTCCTGTCAAAAATAGGACTGGGGGCAGCTGGACGATTTCACACTGCCAAATAGAAGATGGCCAGAAATAATTCCCTCCCCTCTCTCCTCTTCTGTCCTCCCCTCTCTCCTCTTCTGTCCTCCCCCTCTCTCCTCTCCTCTCCTCCCCTCTCTCCTCTTCTGTCCTCCCCCTCTCTCTCTCCTCTCCTCCCCTCTCTCTCCTCTCCTCTCCTCCCCTCTCTCCTCTCCTCTCCTCCCCTCTCTCCTCTTCTGTCCTCTCCCCTCTCTCCTCTTCTGACCTACCCTCTCTCTCCTCTTCTGTCCTCTCATCTCCTCCCCTCTCTCCTCTTCTGTCCTCTCCTCTCCTCCCCCTCTCTCCTCTTCTGTCCTCTCCTCTCCCTCTCTCCTCTTCTGTCCTCTCCTCACTCCTCTTCTCTCCTCCCCTCTCATCCAAAGTGGTTTATCTTACTTTTATCTACAGCAGTGGAGATATTAGAAGGTGTTACAATTGTAATGCAGTTTGATCATGGTGAGAGATGGAGTAGCTTCCTCTAACTGTTCCTCTCCTCTCCTCTCCTCTCCTCTCCTCTCCTCTCCTCTCCTCTCCTCTCCTCTCCTCTCCTCTCCCGCCTCTACCTCTCCCTCTCCTTCCTCCCCTCTCCTCTCTCTCCTCTCCTCTCACTCTCCTCTACCTCTCCTCTCGCTCATCCTCTCCTCTCCTCTCCTCTCCTCTCCTCTCCTCTCCTCTCCTCTCCTCTCCTCTCCTCTCAGAGAGCAGCAGTTCCTGTATAATCCAATAATCCTACAGCCCGCTGTTCCCTAAAGCAGTTTACAGTGGCACAATACTGGCCATCCCTCAGGTGTAGAGCTCAATAGACCCCTGTTATAGTGTGTGTGGTGTGTGTTTCTGTCACAAACCCTGATTCGTTCTGCTGTGCTCACCACTCCAGAGACTCCTTATTAACCCATGGCTCTGTCCAACCTCCACACACACTGTGCTTTCACTAATAACTTCTCTGCTATGAACTGTCTGTTTAGGTCTCTCTGAGTGAGTAGGTGTCTGTACTGTTTCATCATCCAGAGGCTGTTCTTAATAGGTACAGGCCACAATCGCTGACACCAAACCTCTTCAGAGTCTATCTTCTTCTCAGAAACTCACTGAAACAGACACCAGACTCTTCAGAGTCTTTCTTCTGCTCAGAAACTCACTGAAACAGACACCAGACTTCTTCAGAGTCTATCTTCTGCTCAGAAACTCACTGAAACAGACACCAAACCTCTTCAGAGTCTATCTTCTGCTCAGAAACTCACTGAAACAGACACCAAACCTCTTCAGAGTCTATCTTCTGCTCAGAAACTCACTGAAACAGACACCAAACCTCTTCAGAGTCTATCTTCTGCTCAGAAACTCACTGAAACAGACACCAGACTTCTTCAGAGTCTTTCTTCTGCTCAGAAACTCACTGAAACAGACACCAGACTTCTTCAGAGTCTATCTTCTGCTCAGAAACTCACTGAAACAGACACCAAACCTCTTCAGAGTCTATCTTCTTCTCAGAAACTCACTGAAACAGACACCAGACTTCTTCAGAGTCTATCTTCTTCTCAGAAACTCACTGAAACAGACACCAAACCTCTTCAGAGTCTATCTTCTGCTCAGAAACTCACTGAAACAGACACCAAACCTCTTCAGAGTCTATCTTCTGCTCAGAAACTCACTGAAACAGACACAACCTCTTCAGAGTCTTCTTCTGCTCAGAAACTCACTGAAACAGACACCAAAACTTCTTCAGAGTCTATCCTTCTGCCCAGAAACTCACTGAACAGACACCAACTTCTTCAGAGTCTTTCTTCTGCTCAGAACTCACTAAAACAGACACCAGACTTCTTCAGAGTCTATCTTCTGCTCAGAAACTCACTGAAACAGACACCAACCTCTTCAGAGTCATCTTCTGCTCAGAAACTCACTGAAAGACACCAGACTTCTTCAGAGTCTAAT